ATAGCTCATATGGCTTTGAGGTTAGAAGCAAGAAGACGACGGAAGTCAACAGAGAAGGAGTTGAAGAGATCAAACGGCTCTAGACGCCTTCGGGAGAAGTACAAACACGGCCAGCTGGTCCGCCGTTAGTCATGTTCTTATGCTTAGATGTAATGAAGAGTTTTCCTGGTCAAACCGCCTGCCAAACGCCTGGCGACTTAATTTAATTGCTCTTAAATCTAGCAGGTACCCCACTACGTGGTATTTATATAACTCAGTACCTCTTGTGCAATACTATCAAGCCTTACCAAAGTAAGACTTAACTCTACTATGCTCTCCCAACTTCTCTGCGCATCTATCATGAAGTACGCGGGCCTCTCAGCCCTGCTACTGGTGGAGATAATCTGCCTTCTCATTATATTCTTTGTTGTTCCTTGCACGACAGCGTATTTCTCATGGTTCATCCACCAACGAGTCGCAGTACTAGACATCCCCGAAATAGAGCACACCCAGGCGACGTTTTTCATCACCATATTTCACGCTTTCTTCCTGACTCTTCTTGCATGGGGGACCATTCCATACTACAGCTACAAAGGTGCATTTTCTCGAAAGTTACACATTTGTGTCTCTTTTGGCTTCTGGCTGCTCTTTCTCGCTTATATTAGCACTTCGATGTTCACAATACACGTAGTCGCATACTGGGAAGGGGTCTTTGATATCTATAACATGGCCGCCATATCTAAGCAATGCAAAGCCATGCTTTTTGTTGTCGCTATATCTCTCATTCTAGCTCTCGTGCTGATCACGATCTTTATGAGGCTCGAAGATCATGAAGGCATGTTCCCGCCCCTCATGGAACAAGTATTTGCAGATTTTCGATTTTCGGTACGCAAGGTGGGCCATTTCATCTATTCAAAGCCTGGTAAAAGGATTGATTCGTCGGCAGTGCAAGGACTTGTTCATCAAGTGGGGAGTGAGATGTCGGGTCAAGCATCAGGGGAAATGGGGATAGATACTGAGAAGTAGAATATGGTATGTGGCGTCGAGAGCCTCATACTCTCGCAGAGAATAAACCCCAGGTTGTAATCCCATGTAAAATCTTGTTCCTCCAGCATGGGGCCGGCTATTGAGACCTGGCAAGCGTCATCAACCAACGCAGGTAGAATAATCTTGACCCAGCCAGAAGATACAGTGATTGATCCAGGCTCATGTTGATAGAACGATTTATACCTGTGGAAGGGATGTCGAGGAAGGATGCCTTGCTGAATCTACGCGCCAGATCAGTTTGGTTCAAACTTATCAAGACGGAGGATTTACCAGATGTCCAACTAACTGATCTACTACTGCATCATAGTGTAGAGTCCATTGGAGTTCAAGTAGTGGCGTGTTCGGTACCTCCCGACGGCGTTGATGATCAGCCACTTCTCGTACTTCCTCAACGAATTTCTGGAGAGCTTCTGAAGTATTGAAGACCTTAAAGAGCGACGCGAAACCAGCATGAAGAGCAAGTGTATCATGAGACTGCAAATTTGCAGTCAACTCTCTATCCAGGTTGTGTTGATCATGACTTGGAGTTGAGGCAACTTGTTCTGGCAGGGGGAGTACGTGAGGAACCGGTCTTTGACTATCAAGGACAGAGACAAAGCTTGCGTAAGCTTCCTCATTAAGCACAGTAATACCTAGAGCCTGGCAAATATCCCTGTAACTGTTTATGAGTTAGTCACGATTTATCGCTTGCTTAATGGCGCATTACCTGCGCTCAGGGTGCTGATATTTCAGAATGAATGCAGGCGAAAGCGCTAGTGATGCCTGCATTTCGGGCTCTAGGTTCACTAAATTGGGAAAACAAGAACCAAATGCGTCGATATCTTTAGTATAGTTTGCCAGAAATGACGGGCTGATGCGTGCTAAAGCATATCGATGAGAAAAGTAAACAAGATATAGAAGGCAACACTTACAATACAGAAGAACTGCCTCGAAAACGCGATGCTTCCATCCTCGGAGGTACAGGGGATTCATAGCTTGTACCATGCTGCGTACAGATGACATATACCTCTGGATCGTTAGTTCAGTTGCTTGACCAATTTGCAGTCTGAAGTAATCATAAGCATCTTTCTTCCTGTCAAGATGCCAGTATATACAACAGGTTGCAATAGATATAAAATTCCGCAAGTCTGTCTTTGCGATTCTGTTCTCAATAATCTCCTTTGTTTTCTGGAAGACCTGCTCAGCGGTTGCATATCTGTGTAATTGTCTGGCCTGTTGCCACTGTGTTTCGTTCTGGGGAACCGATTCTCGGAGCTTGGCTAGGGTGCCCTTGTCGCGACTATGCGGTGGCTTCAAATGACTTGTCTCAAGCTGGAACTCGGTGTAAGAACCTTGCTCTGGTCGCATGGGGAGTTGTCGGCTCATTACCAGGTAGTTCTATCTAATGCTATTCCCACTCCCACTGAAGAAATTGTCGCACTTGCGTCAGGATGTTCAGAAAGAAAGCATGGAGAAGACAGGGGTTCTATTGGTCAAGCTCACATATGCGCCTTGCCTAAAGGAGCTGCTAGTCAGAATCTTTATGTTTTAGGTATAGCTTAAGCCGTACAAGCTTGTCCAACCAACGTCCAGGCTGCTTATCTCTCTCCCCTTTCCACATTCTCAAGACAGTCTTGTTTTGCATTGCATTGCATAAGGCAGCTTTTCATTCTTGAAATACATTTCGATCAATCAGGCCAACCCCACATACGTGGGGTAAGCCAAGAGTTACGTGATGTCTGCAGCTGCAGATTTCGTGCTGAAATAGGTGGCGGTCTAAGTAACAGGTGTGATGAATACTAGGGTGCAGCTGCGCACAGGGAGTTCATTGTAGTCCCCGCACTATCACCCGACTCCCCTTTCTTCCCGTTTCCCTGTCCCCTCTTCCGGGGTATTAGGGAAGAGACGTGCATGATAGTGACACTCACAAGAAATAGTGGAGATCGGAATATACGTCCAACTGAACCTGTCGGGTCAAGGGAAATGCTGTCTTTTTTTCTTTCTCTCCACAGCTACTCAATCTTCCTATCAACCAACATCCTCTTGGAACCGAGTGTCAATACCATCCAGGCTTAACTCACATAACCCGCCCGGCTGCCGTCCACCGACGACGTACAGCACTTCAAGTACTAGCATCATGAGCATCTCAGGCTGGAAGCTCATTCTCGTCGCGGCAATATTAATCGCCGCATTATTCACTACTCAGACTGCCCCCCCAGAGCCGCGATGTATCGAACCAAACTGCACGCCTCCGACATCACTGGTGCTCAACGACGAACGACCCGGACGCTCCAAGCCAACCGTCGCTGTACTGGCAACTGGGGGGACTGCCTTGGGCAAAGGTAGTTCCCCGACAGACACTTCACACTACGTATCCGGCGCCTCTCATATCGACTCCCTTATAGATTTGATTCGACTTGACTTCCAGGAAATCGCCCATGTGGTTACGCACCAGATCTTATCAACAGACAGTATCAACTTTCATGTGAAAGAGCTGATTGCCATACGCAATTGTGTTATCGAATATATCAGGCGTCCAGAAATATTAGGTGTCACTGTGGTCACTGGAACGAGTACACTGCACATTTTGGCTTTTTTCCTAGAGCATACCATACCGCTCTTCAACAAAACAATAGTCGTGACAGGTGCAATCAAACCGCTCACGGCGTATGGTGCCGATGGACCAGGCCGTGCCCTCTCCGCCATATACACAATAGTAACCTATTGTCTCAACAGAGTGGTAATTCTTATGGAAGACAAGATCATGCTTCCGCGTCGGAGTTACAAACATCATAACACCTTCGTGCCAGGGGACGGTTCGCTTTTAGGCAGCATCGTGGACTTCCGACCAGAGATATTCAACGCACCGCGTGACATCCCCAAGACATTTGATATTCAAGGTCTAGAAGCACACGATAAAGTTCCCAGGACCAAGTATTTCCATCCCATGATGGAAGAAGAAGAATTTGATCGTGCCCTTCAGGAAGGGGTGGAAGCGGCTGTCCTGGGGGTATACGATGATGGATATTTCCCTGAGCGTTTGACAAAGGGACTCAAGAAGCTTACAGACCAAGTCGATTTTATCGCTGCTGCGGTCAGCTATGGTCATACATTCGATGTCAGGCGCAGAATTGACGGAGTGGTGCCCGCCAGTGACTGGACTGACCGCATGCTTATGATGATGATGCCATTCGTGCTATCATCAAACATGACTTGGGAGAAAAGAATGGAATTCATTGCAGAGCCCTATATCAAGAATGAACGAGCTTGTGCGATGGTACCTACGCGGGTGAGTGTCTGGAGCCTGTTGAGGGGAAATTTTGCCCTTCTCGATACTTGCTGTTCTAAAATGATAAAAAGAATTAGGTTAAAAATATAGAGTGATATTAAAACAACAAGGATTACAATAGGCTGATAGATCTAAAACCTATCTTCAGTATGGAAAAGCAAGAGTGGCTACACAGCAAGGCCCATCTCGGTAGCACTAAGAAATGGTCGTTTGCCTCCTCCAGGAGCCTTTGACCTGAGTGTCCTGTACCATTCTAAATTTCCAGATGATACATCGATGACTCTGTCTGCAGCAGTTAGTTATGGGAAGTCCTTGAGAGTCCTCCCCTTACCTCCTTTTCCTTGCAAAACGAACTCCTCCTCACGTTGCGCTACCCTCTGCATTTGAGCAATCATCTTTCGTTCAAGCGTGCCGACTCCCCGTATATTGATTAGAAGCGTGCACAGGGCGGACAAAAACTCTAGCTTCGATCAGTCCTTGCACGGAGGAACAGGCATAAAACTTACTATATCGCTCCATATGGGCCGCACCGACCATCAGCCCAAGCTCTAGACTGTCTGAACTATCGTTCTGGGTGAGAAACCTAAGCTGCATCTCGTAAAAGGTATCCATCTCTGCTCGGTCTCCCAAATACAGCCTGTGCTGTTTGCCAAGACAGGCGTCCCAACCTTCCAACTCGTGGACCTCGCCACATTTGTAACAGTGATGCTGCGTCTGCTTCTGTGTTGCACCATGTCTCTCTTTGCTGTGGGAATTTAGTGTCTTGCGATTTACAAACATTTTGTGGCAGACTAGGCAACCATATATGGGCTTTTTTATGACAGCTTTCAATGCCATTTCGGATCTCCAAGGAATTTCTTTACTGATATCGCCCACTCTATAGCCTAGTAAATGCAGGTTATATGCAACTCGCACTTCTTGTCCACACCAATCATGTCCTCTTAACGGCTGGTCGTTGTGAGAAGTTTGGTGGCGGCTGAGATTTAGGTCCCCATGAACATTTTTTCCACATTGCGTGCAATTCCGATCGCATTCATGTTGTTGAGCATGATGAAAGTAACGGTCACAAGCCATACAGAATGTGAACAATTCAAACACCCAATGATGCCTGAGACAGTTAGTAACGCATCTAAAAGACGAGAGATGTAATCACCTGGATAGTGTTGCAGGGCTGTCTTTCAATTCTTGTCTCATATTCCAAGCGTATATTTCGTGGTCGAGCCGGCCGTATGCAGCAAATCTTTCTATACCGTGCTCGCAATCAAATACGGGTTCGCTGTCGAGGGTTTTGTGCCTAAGGGGCTCGTAGTTGCTCTTTTTGAACCAGCCCACGACATCTGTTTCCCATTTTTCCTGATATTCAATAGCCTCAATTGTCTCAGTTGAAGATTCAGGCACGGTTTCGATGTCAATCGTTGTATACTGAAGGGCAACATATTTTGGCTTTTTTCTGTGTTGGGTCAGTGTAAGTGGCAGGAACATGAAGGTCGGTACCTGCGCGCAAATCTCATCAACATGTTCTTCCTCCGTTGGTAGGTCATTTGTTTCTAGCTCACTGGAGACCGAAAGGGGGAGGTGAGGCCAGTATTCAGATTTACTGTGGACCGAAAGGGCGAGGTGAGGCCAGTCTTTTGGTCCTCGGTGATCATCGTGGCCGTCCATACTTGTTTGGGTCTGTCTGTCAGAGTGGAACAGCAGAGCGAGGATGAACATATTTAATATCTGAGATTATTGGCTAGCTGATTGCCCCTGCAGTACAAAGCGTCCATGGCTGCTAACAGGGCTGGGACATGGGGGCACATGGACTTAGCTGAGTCCAGGGTGTAGAGGGTGTAGAGGGTGTGTCTGGGATACAGGATTCGGTCTTGTCCCCTGACAAGAACGGCTTTCAATGTGGGGTTTGGGCAGAAATCGTATTGGCCAGTGTGCGGATAAAGATAAAGCCCCGCTGACATCAGTGGTGGCTTATCGATAAGATCATGTTATTGCGACATCCACTCCCCACATGTGATGTTCCGCAAGGTATGTCGTCAAGAGTGTCGTCAAGAGCCTTTCGTTGTTCCATCAATACACATAAAGGATTTGCTCGTACAAAGTTGACCTTCCAGCAAACTACCCCGCCTGCGCCTACAATCCTTTTGTGCCACCATGACTTGCACTAATGCCGATGTCGCTTGGAACATTCGACATGCTTCCAGGACCTTTCTTCTTCATGATGACAGAGCCTCCTTGCGTGAACGACACCGAAGAACAATCCTGGTTGCAGTCAAATTTGGTGATAGTTCCAGCTGGGTATGAATGAAAATTCCGCTCATCAAACACTGTCTCGGTGGTGTAATCCTTCCATAATCTCTCCTAGGCTATGGTCAGCGTAAAAGTCTCGCAGTTGTGGCAGGTAATCATGAAAAGGGACCAATGGGGCCGTCATACTAGGTCTGCAGCTGTAGTATTGGACATGTTGGTTCTCAAGTTGGTCGGTTTGTGTCGCTGAAATCGCTAAAAAGCCGCTATGTTTGGATTTCAGAATTCAACCGTTCAATTTATAAAACCTGGATGCTCGCTGCCTGAGGAGGTGTCTCGCGGCCTGACACAAATTATTTTGCCCGTCAGCCAATCATGAACGAGCTCGGAGACTGTCGGCTACAGTACAAACAAACCCCTCTTGGCTTCTAAACCGTGCTGCAAGTGAAACGACGCTTATATATCGGAGGACAGAGGACGCCTTCTTCGTTGCGGAAGCCTAATGAGGTAATCATGTTTTATTTACAAAGGCGATGCCCTCCTGCCAATCTACAAATACATCCAGAACGATGACCTGCCCAGGGACCACGTTACACGTGACGCATTGTGTAGTGAGCTTGTCTTTAGATTCCTGCGCCCACATCTGAGTTTTCTGACAGGCTTGCAAAACATCGTCTCCTAATATTGGCGCAATTTTCTCTTTCAACGCTTCCAATACGCAGCCCTCTATCAATGAGTCAAATGAGATCCACAGCAAGAAAACAACAAAAAGAGCGCACTTACCTGCATCATAGTTTTCTATAACAACACCAGTTAGTCTGGCTAGAAATTCCTGATCAAAGAGGACCGTCAACCTAATACAGGCATCTTTGAATTCGATTGCAGGTAAGTACGCTGTCACCGTGCGATTGAATGCAAGGCTAATCAAGTTCCGAAATTTCAACGCATCAGACATCGGATAGAAGTAACTAGGTACGCCGCGCATCGTCATATGACTGATCGACCCAGCATATCTTTTTGTTTGGTCGAAACCTTGTTTGTTAGTCCACAATGTCAAGCAGGTGATCATTGATCTTACGTTGCTTGAAATTGCCGCTAGTTCCCGCCACTATCTCATTGATTTGAGTATGGTGTAGAAATTGTGGGCCTAATCGTTGAGAGGCTGTTTGAGCTTGTCGCAAGACTTCGTCCCAAAGGTCCTGGTTTATACGTAGGATTTTCTTCTTGGTCAAACAAAGTCCGCAGATGATAACAACCAGGGGATCTTGTTCACATAGAGTGTGGAATCTGCCATCGTCTGGCTCAATCGGTGCATCCAGTGCATTGATGAGGAGTTCAAGCCGGTTTGTCACGGGCCATTCAAATCTTTTGAAATCAGGTTCTTGAACGACGAGAGCTGGTGCTAGAATATCCGATGCCTGAACTCGACGAGCAAAATCTCGCAAAATTTCCGAGGCTAATCTCCTATCATTTGGTGTCAGGGTTTGGCTGTCCACCTGATTGAGGGCTATCAGAGTATCCATGAAACAAACGTCGGCGAAAACAAGTGAATAAGAAGGTATCCACACCAAGGGCATAAGTGCCCTGAGAAGAGTTCAAATATAACCAGGACATAACTGCCCTGCCCCACTAGGGCATAACTGCCCTCCTCCACCAGGACACGACTGCCCT